AGGGGGTACCGCGGAGGGGATACAGTGGAGGGGATAGCGCTAGTGATGGCAGAAAAGTGAGGGCAAAGCTCGCCAATTAGCCATCTTTAGATTAGATTATTTATACATTGGATAATGATATATCTGGAGTAATACGAGCATATTAATTTAACAATAAGTTTAAACTCTCCTTATACTGCGTTTCATGTCGGTCGATCGTTCGTGCAAACGTCTTTGTGCAAAAATTCACTGAACTTACAACTAGCAACATGTATATCAAAATTTGTCGACAAAGAAAAAGCTACCGTGCATATGTAATTTTCGTAAGAATGCGGAGTAAATGATCTTAACATTCCACGATTGTCAAAAGTTCTACAATTTTATAATTACTGACTGTCCCTGCATCAGGTTCTCGAGAAAGATCAAAATTATGAATGTTACAATTTATTTCACAAAACTTTCAATCTTTCGAACATTTTAATTACTTTAATTACAAGAGTTTTCTAGACTTTAATAACTTTAATAATACCTGGTCACTTGATAACATCGAAAGTATAATCACCTTAGTCAAAAGTGAAGTTTACAAAAAATAAATAGAATCTTGAGAGATATTCAAGATAACTTCGTTTAAATTGCATAGAAGTATACAACGTAAGCAATGAACAAGGTAACAAGCAGAAGCTAAGGACACACCTGAAACCAATCGAGTCATCTCCAGATCGTGCAAGTATTATCTTTGCTCGCTGTGATGATAGTGTCGCCGTTGTACGAAAACGCGCAACTAAACACATCGTCTGTGTGACCGTCCAATGTTTGTATACAGCATCCATTTTCCAACGACCATAATTTTGACATTCTGTCCAAGGACGACGTCAGCAAATGCTGGCCATTTGGACTGAAACAGACTGCGTCAATTTTTTTTTTTTATGGAATATTTTCTATACTTTTGTTGCATTATTATTATTTTTGTTGTTGTTGTTGTTATTATAATTATTTCCACTATCATTATCTATTATTATTATTTATTATTTCTAGTAAATTTTGTTTCCAACTAAAAAGCAGAAAATAGAAAAATTTGTACTTATAACAAAAAAAAAAAAAATATTACAGCACCAGTTTAGTAAATTACTAGTTGAATCTCTAATATTATTGAAGTTGCGCTTTCCCTGGAGAAACTGAAGAGCGGAATCGAATTATTTCATTGCAGGCACAATCACCTTTCGAGACCTCTTCTCGATGACCTTTCATCATGGCTAACTGCCGGAAGTCGCTGGTCACATCCCAAACTCGCGCGGTGGTGTCGCTGCTGGCGGACGCCAACTTTTTCCCGTTGTTGTTAAAGGTCAGGTCCAGCACCTCATCGTCGTGTTCTCGCAAAGTGGCCAGGCAAGAGTTCATCCTCGTCTCCCAAACTTTGGCCGTTTTGTCCATCGACGACGAGGCGATCAACGAACAGTCGAAGTTGTACACGCAGTTCGACAACTCTGACCGATGACCGATTAACACGCTTATGCGACTGAGAAAAAGAAGTAAATGAATGGAATAAATTTGAAATTTTATAATTATAAACGTTATAATGTAGAATGTATAAATATACATTATTTACATATGTAAACATGTATATTATGTATAGGCAAATTTGAAATTTTATATCATATATATATATATATATATATATATATATATATATATATATAT